CACCCACACCCACACCCACACCCACACACACCCACACCCCTCAGAAAAACAGGTTTTCTCAACCAAGAAGAGAAAAGAAAAAAAACGCGATGCGTTCTTTTGTGACTGGTGGCATGATGAGTTAAATGAGATAAAACATCTGACTTCATCTCTTACTTAAAAATCTAGATAGGCGCTTACAAAATCGACCAATGCGTATTGCACTCCGTGCGATTCGAAGCGCCATCATCAAAAATTTTTTTTGAGATCGGGATCGGTCTAATAACTTGTCTGCACTCAGTTTTTGATGCTGAATCTGAAAAATATATCTTTAGAAGCTGGAAAAAATAAGGAAGCAGAAAAGTTTGCACATTTTGAAAAAGATGTATTTTCCGATCCGGAAGAAGCATTTTCTGGCGCTAAAAAGTAATTTTTCGTGATCAGCAGCTCACACTCTATCAAATGATGTAAAAGAAAGGTGAAAAAAAATTTGCTTGAAATTCGCACTGCCAGCACTTTATATATAACATATTTATTGTTCACTGTGCCGATGACGAAAGGGTTCGTTGAAATATAAATTATTTTGAATAAAATAAGTTCAATTCACTGTTACACGTCGTATATTGGACACAGATGGAATCACAACCCGACAATGAGCAGGAAACCAGACCGAAATTCACCAAAAATTTTAGGCAAAGAGTACATATGAGCTTTCTGCCAAAGAAAAGTACTCTCAAGCAGGGGCGTAACTCGGTCTCTAAGGGAGGGGGCGTAGGCCCTTAATATCTCAAAATCTCGAAGCAGGGGGGGCGTAACGTCTTCGTTCGTATGGATTCTGCAGTAAAATACCCATAAAAACGCAGTTTTTTCGATTTTTTTGACCAAAAAAAACCAAATTTTCAAAAGCAGGAGGACGTCGCGCCCCACCCTATTTACGCTCCTGCTCTCGAGTTGATTTTCTGCGGGAATTTTGCAGAAAATATATTCTTGATGCTATCTATCTATTTTTGCCAGAAAGAGGGATAATATGACTCAACTATTCGCATTGCTACCACTAATCAATAAGTATGCATGCATTGCGGAGAGGAAATTTTGAGAAATTCATCTTCTTAAATTTTGTTTATATATAGGTTGTACGAAAGCCAGAAAAAATATTTTTCAGAAGAAAAACGTAGAAATACAGCGGAAAGAAATTGGCAGAAAGGATCCGAATTTAGCGGGGGGAAATCCCCCCCCTAATCGGCAAGCCTGATGCGAGTACTCAATCGTCTAAACTTCGTATTGGGTCTATACGTATATAAGTGTGTGCGTTATAACCCAGAAACCATGGCACCTCAGTCATAATCAGCATTGCTCAATCATTCCACCTATTTGGCTAATATTTTCACAGTACGTAGACCTAACGAAGGCAGGAGGAAACTGATAATTTCAGTTCAAACGGATGAATCATTAAGGAGACCCAAACATTACAAGTATAGATACTTAGCCAGATTTGGATTATTGTTCAGAGTAATACTTTTCACTAACTTTTCATTTTTAAAAGAACGATAGGCGTTACAAAAGATTTTTTACCATAGATACTGTCGACTATGGACTATCTTTTCATAGTATTGAGAGTGCCTTATTGATTAGTATTTTGTGGAACCCAAATATATTTTTCAAAGAACTAGTGAGTGTAAGTTGAAATCGAAATTTTCCGGCTCGCCTAGAAGTCGGAGTCAAAGATAAACATCTGATTTTTTCTAGTGACCGAAAGGCTTAGCAACCATGGTTAAGATCAATGACTAC